CCTGGTTGTTTCCTTTGGTGGGGCTACAACCTCTTAAGGGGGAGAGCCAAAAATTCCTCTGCGTAGAAAAGTGATTTTTTGAAACAATGATTTGTTGATAAATCAATTAGCCAATAGCTATTTTGATAATAGTTAATAATATAACAATTGTATGATAATAGTTTATCATACAAAAAACTAAATGCACCAGCTTCTCAAAGTTGGAAAATTTGCTTCTATTTGTAAGATCATATTGTACAATGAATATTTCTACAGTTAGTGAGAAAAAGAGACCTTTTATTTAAGCATTTTACATTTTGTGGACCAGATGTCTTTTTGAATAACTGAAAAAAAATACCAGGAGATAAATCTATTGTACAAATAATCTAATACTCTAAAAGTTGAGTGATGACTGGACACCAGAAATCTGAGTAAACTACATTTACAAACTACAACCTAATGTGCGGTCTAAGATGGTCTGCCCTTGTTTGCAGAAGATGCAGACCCAGCTGTCAGGGCAATGCTTCTTTGAGTTTAAAGCTGGTTTTAAATCATGTAGTGTGTCCTAAGTTGTACAAGACAGCCTTCCTGGCAATACGGCTTAACTGCCAGTCAATATAGATTAAACAATTACTTCCCCCTCGTCTGCTTTTGACACCTCAAGAGAAACCAGCGATCTTTATGAAACACATCAGCGAGGTAATCCCTCGTACTTGAGTTTGTTTAACACTGACGAGATATCTGACACTCCACATGCCAAAGTGGGTTTACTTTTATTGTCAACTTTTTGATGCGTTATCTTATCGGTTTTCCCCATTTGTTCAAATGCACGTGCTTCATGAGTGTTTTTCCTGTAAAAATATCTTCAATCATGACAACACAAATGTTAGAATTACATAAACCGGGACTATATTCTCACAGTTATGCTTTAATCTGAATTTGCCAGCAGCAAAAAGTCCTCAACCACCACGGAGAACAAAGCCAATTCATCAAACCACTAAGATGCTTCTGAGAAAAGCCCCAGTCAGATAATATCATCGGGGTTCCATTCACGCAAACACCCTGTGGCCATATGACACAAATCCATCAACCTAACCAACTGAGGGTTTTCACCCTCATCAAAGGGCCACTCGGTCTCTTCTGAAGTTCAGAGGAGCCTAAACACCATCATTAGTGACGGCGTTACTGACGAGATGGTGAGAGGAAGCGACCATCAAGGAAGTAATGAGTGCAGGTGTGAACGCTTCATCAAGGTGTTATTTTTTAACAGACAGTGCCGTTGCCTGCCATTTGTCTAAGCTCGGTTCACATGGTGACACATTTCGGAGGACTATTTTGCCATTCAAATTGGACATCAAGCGTCTGCTCCTCTGTAAGAACAAAAATCTCTCTCAATCACAGATCTCTTTGATCTAAACCATTGGGGAAAAATTTACTTCAATACTTGTTTTTGTAAACCACATTCTCAGTGATGCGTCAGTGCTACGTTGATGCCACATGGAAACTGCTTCAACTGGGACTGGTCTGGACTGCTTGTGTTTTCTCCTACATGTTCCCATTGCTGGTAGAGATATCAAGTTAAGATTAAAGACAACATGAAGAAAGATGAAGATTCAGTAATTTTCAGTGAAAACTATCTTGAGAATGAAAAAACACAAGCAGGACTACCTACTGGTAATTGAACAACATCTGACTCCTTTCCATTTGATACATGGTCAGTCATAGTGCAAACCTTCCCATCACTGCTCACTGTCACTGCATGTCAGAAGAATTACTTTAAGTTTGTAATAAATGCATGACAGCCTGATAATTTAGGACACTTCCATTTACCGATGTAATAGTACTTTAGTAATCAAGAGGCTAAAATCCAACACTTGACTATAAATCAGTTTCTACTCCGGACACAACTATGTGGGACCACCAGAAGAGGCTGAAATAGACGCATAAATCTGGTTTTCAACAGCAGTTTTAAAAGTTCATGTGTGGTTAGCTCGTCCACAGCAGATTTTAAATCATTCCCACCTGCCAAAACAAACCAAAATTACATAGAGGGTGTGCCATGTTATCAAAAAAAGGAAGCACCCTAATCATACTTGTCATTAACACAGAAGTAATTAAAGATGCCTTTGCAAGACACGTTATCTGAGTGTTTACTTGTATATGTGACATGGACAGTCACTGATAAGCATGACATACCTGAGGTCACAGATTTAAACTACAATCTTGTTGATTAAGCTTTTACCAATATGAGGTGGAAATATTAATTAAAGGTTAAGGGTAGGCATCTAAAATGAAATGAGTGCGAGAAAAAAAGCCAAATTAAGGCAAATGGCTGGCGAGCTGCACAACACAAAGCACACAGGTCTCTATTTCTTTGCACATTTTGATTTGATATCGTCAATACCTGGCAAACAGGGGATCTGTTGTTAAAACCTCCAGCCTCAGGTCCTGACATCATATATGACACAGAAGTTGAACACAAGCAGCCAAGCGCTGGTCGTTGGGATGCTAACTGAGGCGTTGCATTCATTCAGGAGCCAGTGACCTGCCTCCGCTTCCCCCAGGTGCCTTCAGGACCGTCACCAGGTGTGTGCGGATAATGAAATCAGTCCCCAAGGGGGAAGGGTGAGAGGAGCACAACACAGGAATGGTATCAGTTCACTCTCGTCTTTTCAGCTCTCAACCCTGATCTGCTTCGGAGATTCTAGGTCAGTAGTGGCTTTTTAAAGATCTGATATTGGGCCTCCAAGGAGTTTGGAGCTGCTAAATAGGACTGTAATGGCGCCTGACACTCTTAAAGAGGATCTGACATTTTTCATTAAGTTAATGAAACGAAGGGTTGAGAATGTACAAGAATACCAAGTGGGAACAAGTATATCCAAAAAGAGTCAGCATCACTTTGATATGTTCCTATTCACACTGAGCAACATTAACACTGGCATTTTTAAGAGTCTTCATTGTGCTCAGATCCACTTTCAAGTATCCAATTATATTCTAATGCACTGCTGCTTTTTAGAAAATAATTCAAGAATGGGAGCAAATCACAAATAATTGTTGCATTAAACTTTAGACTCAGCAGATAATTGATAACTTGACAGCCACGTTGAAACGCTAACGTGTGCCGTATATTTTATGCTTCATACAATCATTTCTCGCATCCTTCTGTTGAGCTAGAAAACCACAAACAAATAAACCAGAAGATTCATATTAAATTAGAAAAACAATAACCAGTGGTACTTTAGAAATGCCCCGCGCCCCTGGTATGGATTAAGCGGTGTATAGATAATGGATGAATGGACTCTAGAAATGGCTTTTTTGCACAAACAACAACGATAATGTTCAACACAGACTGCAACTAGTCAACAAATGATTTAAAAATAAACAAAAGCTACACAAAATCTAACTCATCTTGAGTTAAATAGTCTCGAAACAACAGGTATTCAGCCTCATTTTGGAAGAAGAACATCAGCAAGCATTCATCTTTCAGGGGAAAACTTCCTTAAACATGCAGTGCGGAGCTTTCGTCTCTTCATTCTGGCAGTGGGACTTATTAACACAAAAACTGTCAAAGCGTGCTTATGATGGATGTACTCGCTCTCAGTTGCCTTCTTTATTAGACTGTAATCCTTCTTCTGAACACAGAGCTTATTTGGAGCATCACAAACTTTTTTTAAATGCTTCCCAGATTTCTCTCAACGGGCTCCTAGTTGCTGTGACCGACTGTGTCCCAGTCGACCGTCACCCTCTCAGCTCTGTCAAGCAGGCAAAATGCATCATGGTAATGCAGGATTGTATCACCACAGAAGGCAGATTTAAAACTCCAGTAAACACACAGCCAGATTTACCTGCGGCTGCTCAGCATTGTGCGATCTCATCTGGCTTGAAGTAATGAGCTTTCATGAACATATGAAAGTCCTGCACTGTAGCTTGATACGATGAGTGAACGATGACAAACGCTTCCTTAGCTTGAGTGAACAATTTCAGATATACTGTCAACCTTCTTTTTAAGCAGAGGATGACTGATGACTCAATGAATATAAAATGAATACGTGAGTGATTAGTTAACACGTAAGTAAGCAAAGAGTTTGGGGGGCCCATAATCTTCTCCTGCACAGAGGCCCCATAATCCCTGACGACACCCCTGCTACACTGAATCACAAAGTTTAGACAGCTTTGTGCCCGAGTGGGCTTTAAAAATCGGATTTTTAAGCCTTTATGTAGACCTGCAAAGCTGTGACTGCGTTCCACCAACATGCAAAACATAATCAGCCAGTCATCGGTGTTCTGAAGGCTGACAAGAGAACAGCTCACTGCAGGATGACAAAGTCAAATGCAATGGGGGCAGGCAAGTGTCGTGATTGAAATTCTCCCAGAACAAAACCTCGCTTGTGTGATTATTGTTCAGCAGGCTCGCAATGAAGCAAAAATCCATTCCACATGATGCATTCATTGTTTTCAGCCAAACACGCACCGGGCGCTACAGCAGCCTCTGCTACTGTACAATGGCCCTGAGCAAAAACAACTGCTGCAACATTTAGGAGGGTCTGCTGAAAAAATATGTGCAATATTCCAACTGATACATGGGCGTATTATTTGGCTAGGATCTATCATTAGAGGTTACAAATGTTGGATTGTATTTTGGGGGCACTAAGGTGGTCATTAACTCAGAATTCTTTATCTCTGATGCAAATAATTGTAGGAATGTTGTATTGCAGATGATTAAAATACCAACAACTGAGCAACAGGCACACTGCAGCCCAGCACTGGAACTTCACAGGAGTCAAAATGTGAATTTTTCATCCTAATCTGAGTCCAATTATTCCAAGTTTCAGTCACCTTTCAACAGGTGACGAAGCAATAAAAGACACTGCCGTTTAGAGGTGAAGTCGCTGCAGATCCGAGCTGCAAACCGGTAACCAGGGCCACACGGAGACAACAAAAACACCTGCACTGAAGGCAGGCAAAGTGCTGAGGATGTGAAGCAGCATTTCGTTCTCTTTTGCCAGCACCAAATGACTCACCTCTATCCATTTCTGCGCCTCCTGAAACGCGGAGTCTGCGGCCGACTCGGTCACAGGGTGATGCTGATGAGACTGTCCTATGTCTGCCACCGGACTTGCCATTGGCGAAGAAGCGCAGCTCGTCAACTGCTAAAAGCCTGCGGGGATGTGTGAAAGCAGCTCGCTGCCGCGTTATTCCACCCAAATCAGTCTGCCGGTTCTCCTCAATCGGTTGTCGGTTGCAGTTGCAGCAGCAGCGGCGGCGGCAGCAGCAGCAGCAGCAGCACCGGCGAGGCGAGTGTGGACCAGTTGCTGCTCTCCAGCGTTGCTCCTGTTGGGAGTCTGTGGAAGAAACGAGCAGCGTCAAGCCACACGCGGTTAGCTGCGGGAGATCCGGTGCGACAGCTCAAAATAAAAGCTTTAGCGGAGGACCGTGCTGCTTTGTAAAATGTGACACAACTATTCTAGTGAAGTAAATATAGTATCAGGCACCTTTGATATCACGCTCTTTAAAACGTCTCAGTGTGCATCCATTTAACATTTACTTACTTCCTAGAGCCAGCTTGAACATCCTGCTAGCCGCTAGTTAGCCGGGTTCGCAGCTTGTTTGCGAGCTAACGCTACAAGCTAACTCCATCCATCCATCCATTTTCTATACACCGCTTAATCCTCATTAGGGTCGCGGGGTGCTGGAGCCTATCCCAGCTGACTCAGGGTGAAGGCAGGGGACACCCTGGACAGGTCACCAGTCCATCGCAGGGCCACACTTAGAGACAGACAACCAAGCACACTCACATTCACACCTACGGACAATTTAGAATCACCAATTAACCTCAACATGTTTTTGGACTGTGTGGGAGGAAGCTTCCGGTGCCCCCACCGGGACGTGAACCGGCAACCTTTTTGCTGCGAGGCAACAGTGCTACCAACTGCGCCACCTTGCAGCCCACAAGCTAACTCTACAGGAGTAATGTGCCGCTGACAATGAACTCATATTAAAAACTAGATAGAAATTTTAAAGAAACACATTTCGGGCTGTAAAGTTAAACTTGTCGGACTTTCACCATCTTCACCGCGCCTACACGACCGAGTGTTTCCAGCCCGTTTCAACTACAGCGCCACCTGCCGCCTTGGATGATCAGTAAAATGCGCAACTTCCGGTTTTAAAGGATTTCAATTCAATTCAATTCAAATAACTTTATTTATCACCTCAGGGCAATTCAAAAGCTATCAGAGTATTTAATACAAAGACATCCAAAAAAAATGTGACGATTAAAAAGTAACTGCATAAATAAACATAAATTAGGACTAATCCTGGTAGTGGACTGAGGACATTTTGAATATTCTGGCCCACGTTTAATCTGTGTAATCACTTCATATAGGCTGTATGGTAGACAGAAGAGATGTGGTAAAGGACTGCAGAATAATTCTACATAATAACTGAGTGTTATACTAAATACTAAATGTCTCAACATTACAAAAGAATGTCATAATGAAAATATTAACTCTAACTATGAAAACATCATTTCAACATTTTTGCCTTTATCATCTCATGAATTTTTACTAATATGCTAGCTAGTTTATTTTTATCATCGGAACCAGGCTGAAAAAATCTCACTATTTCTCACGACAAACAAACTAATAGTTGGTTTTGCAGCAAGCTACGGCTGAAATATGGCTGATCGAAATGCTTAGTGACGAGTTCAAACTGTTTGTTTCTCACACTTTTGCAAGGTAACAATGGCGTCGCTGTGCAAATGAAGACATCAGAAATGTTTTTAACGTAAAACAAATAAAACTTAATTCACAATCAGTACTCATGTCGTGACTGTCGTCCGTCTTGGTGAGTAGTGCCGTTTCTTCCGTTGGCATCCAACTGAGTAGGTGAAGCAAACACCAGGCTCCTAGAAGTGTGGTCCTGAAAGTGGAGCCTCCAGAGCTGCAGACAGACACCCCTCAGAAAAACAAGGACACATGTACCCGAAGGTCACCTCAGCAGGTCACAAGAGGACTCGTCTAGCATTAGCTAACATAACGTATCCAAGCCAACATTACAACTAGAAATGAATTCACTTTGTACCTCTACTGTAGCCAACTAGACATCTTTGTATCTGACACTTTAGGTTACATGAGTTCATCAGTAAAGCTTGATTGCAGTTACACAACATGACATCGTTATTTCACTAAGCTAAAAAGCCAATCAACACTTATCTCATTTCAAATGTAGCCAAGTCAGAAAATATACATTTAGGCACACAAATAAGAAAATATTAAAATTCAATAAAACAATAAATGTATTAAGCAGAGCCCTAAAGTTAGAAAAAAAGAAAAAGATAAAAGAGTCAACTGGAACAGTCTGAAGTAAAACAAGCTGAAAGTAAAAATTGCCCTCAGAATAAAAATGAATCCAGCTGTAGATTGTTCTGCATGTTATTCCAGCTTGCGGGTGTCCAGTGAGTACAACTGGAGTTTTCAAGCTCAGTAATAACAGCAGACTTCTGTAGTGTGATCTAATCATTTGAGCTTGTGTGTTGAGGACCTCCTGTAAAAGAACAGTAATGAGGCAATAGAAGGGGATTCTCCAAAGCTACTGAATTAAAAAGAAATATTCCACCAGCAGCACAAGTGTGCAACCTTACACTGTTTATCTGTTGCTACTCTGTCTCTCAAACTAAACACAAATGGCAACCAAGAGGGCAGCCCACTTATTATATATGGTATTTAAAGGTGGGAACGATTGTAAAAGTTATTTTGATAGTGTTGACTGTGATTTCCTCAGCAAAACAGAACGAGAAACTGATGTTGTTGAAAATCTTATTTTTTCTTCAATCTATAACACATTTTTGCGAAGCCAAGATAATTATTTTTGGGGGAATGAGAGGAAATAGTCAAGCTTTGTCAAACCTACTGAATATTAGTGTGACTGATGGTTGTGATTGAACTCAACTGGCGTCATAACTGACCGGTGTTCCGTGCTTTTATTTTCCAGACAACACACTCTGCTTCCTCTAATGATCGGACTGTTGTTGTCTGGCTTGACGCAGCTGGACCGACATGAGTTGCACACCGCAGTATGATTAGCTCCAATGGCCAAAAATACACAGAGCAGCGCTGCTCCGGCAGCAGCCAATGAGGGCAGCAACACGCTGGGGATCTCACACCCACTTTCATTATATGGGGCAACTGAGAGACAGAAGAGAGTTCACAGATTTAGAGCAAAGGCATCCAAAACTCTGACCTCCAGTTGTTGATGCAGTTTATGTTAACTAGATTATGCTGTTTGGAAGAAGTCTTTTCTACCAGTGAATTATCATACTTTCATCAGTTTAATTCTGCTATAAATGATAGTTCCTGTGATCTGTGTTAGAGAAAAGTATTGTTGTCTCAATTTTTTCCCCATAAAGTGAAGACAAGTCTTGATAGTTTTGGATAAATCAGGTTAGCTGGGATAACCTGCACCAGAAAACATTATCAACAATGAAAAGTCTGACAACTGTCCCTGTAGAAACTACTGTACATATTGGAATAGAACATTTCAAATGCAGTTCCCTCAGTCAGTTATGTATTTATTCACATTTCTGTTAAAGTTGCCGTTTAGTTGTGTCACACTGTTTGTCTTGGAAGTGAAGACACATCATTGGCAAACACTCTCTAGCTGGCAAAAAAATGAGCAAACTCGCCCTTGAACCCCAGGAAACTGTTTTGTAATCTGGAGCCTGCAACTTAAATTTAATATCTCACCAGCTGCTCCACTGCAAACATGATTAATGACGTTTGTAGGATTGCATGACTAAGCCACAGGGACCAAAACAGAGAATTCAACCACAATCTCTGGACAGTTTTCTTTTTGTCCTTGTGTCTTTTTAAATTAAGTCATTGCTCTAACTTTAAATTTAATTTAGTCAGTGACTGATTCCTACAACAATACACATTTCTCAGAGAAGCCACACACATGTGATTTCAATATCTACAACCTCTGCAAACATCATTAAACGCTATTAGATTATGATGCTGCTTCTAGTATAGTATGCTATACTAACCAAATAAATCTAAATAATAATAAGAATTCAAAAAAGAGGTAAAAAGGATGGAGTAATGTAACATTCAAAAAATTTAAAATTTGTTTAAAAAATAAAAAATTGATGAATGACAAAATAAATAAATGAAAAAAAAAAATGATGACAAATATCCATTAAAATAATGGCATTTTTAAAAGCTCATTTAAATAAAGTAAAGCTAAAGTATACTACTTCTACTACTACTACAACTACTACTACTACTACTACTACTACTACTACTACTACTACTACTACTAATACATTTGGGGTAGTAAGTACAGTTTTGGTCTTTTCCTTTTTTTTTTTCTAAAGAGACATATGTTAAATAATACTTTTTCTGTCATTGTCATCAGCAATTACACAAATCAGGGACAATCTGTCAAATAACAAATTAAAAAAGAAATATTTGCCATTTTTAGTCCCTAAATACACATTTTTTCTTTAAAACAAAAAAGTAAATATCTCTTCAATAACTTTTTGTTGTTGTTGCAGATTTAAATACAGTAAAAACAAAACAAAACAAATGCTGTAAAAGAATTATTTAACATTTATAATAATACAGAATTTTTCTGTGGCCATTATTTACAGTTTGGGATTTTGATTTTTTTTGTACAGTTAACATGTAAATGAATACTTTTTGTCTGTCACTTCACTAGGTATTATTGATAATTTAATAAACTTAGACTTAGGTCAACTTTATTGTAATGTTACTATCAAGACTAAATTAGTCACTGAGGGGAGAAAAACAGGCTCTGTTGACACGGTGATGCCAAGGATGAAACATGAAGCCATTACTGCAGTTGAGGGTGTTTATTTTAACCCTATCAATAAAAAAACATACATGTGGCAATGATGAACTTGGAGGCTATGATAGAAAATAGCTTTTGCGGTCAACAGAAAATATGGCACCCTACCTCTACCTCTCTCTGCAACAAGCAAACAAATTCACAGGTAGGTGCAGGTGGTCCCTGTTAAGCCACAGTCACACACCCACAGACAAACAGCTCCACAAACACACACACACACACACACACACACACACACACACACACACACACACACACACATCCAAACACACCCACTACCCCTACTGAACAATGAGAACACATATCCCTGCCTCTACATTTATTGATCCACAAGGGAAACTGTTTGATCACAGTAGCAACACAAAATAAATAATAATATAAGAATATACAATAAATAAGGACAAGTTTAAAAAAAAGTAAGCTGGAAAAAAAAAAGAATAAAATACAAAGATTTCCATATGTACAATTTGTAATTTTAAGATTTTATTCATTTTTTCCCCCCTGTAGAAAAACAGTAAATTGTTTTGGGGCTTTTTAAATTACAGTTATAAACTGTTTAAATAAATAAATAAATAAATTAGTTAGTTAGTTACTCTCATTACAATGTTGCTTCCAGACGTCATCCAGTCTCAGCTGATGCCACCAGGACTTGTCAGGCCCCTGCAGACTCTGTCCTGACATTCCTACATGTTTGCTGACCTCTGGTGGGGATCTGCTGCCGGTGATCTGGAGCAGGAGGAGGAGGAGGAGGAGGAGGAGGAGCCTGGATGAAGGTGTGATCTGTCGCCACGCCTCCGTGCGTCAGGATCAGCTTCTATTTCCTGGATACCGTAAACAATCCGGTAGTTTTCATTCGTACTTTGTTTCCACGAGGTCGTTGAGGCTGACAGCCCAGCAGTGTGATCGTCAGGAGGCTGTTTTCACTCTGAGGAGTGACAGGACCAGCTGAGTCTGACAGGACCCAGTGTGAACCTGAACCAGCAGCCAGGACGGTCTGGCAGGTAGGTGCTGCCACGACAAACCAGAAACGTTGTGTTAGAAATGTGCATAGCTTCTATAACGATCTGGTCCAGGAGGCAGTGGGTCTATATGTGAAAGATAGTGGCTCTGCTGAAGATCAATAAGATTAAAGCACAAATATATGGACTTCTGAACTATGTGCAGCCTCCTGATATTGGGAATTAAACAAAGACTTACATTTGGTGAATTATTGTTATTTTTGTTCATTTTTAAAATACATCTTACAGATAAAATAATATTGACTCACTGCTGAATGACAAGACATGGAGGTCAGATGATCTGTTTATGATCCATAGTCAAGCTACACAGTGTTATATAGCACAGTTAAAACAACAGGTGATGAGGCAGAATGCTTTACAATAAAGAAATAAATGAATGGTACTTTACGTAATTAGTTTAGCTCATATGTTTAAAATATAAAGGCTGGGAACTTTATTCATTAAATAAATGTACCTGACTCACCTTAATATTAGGGTTAAAAACCTACAACATTGTATTTAATACAAATTTGAGCAGAATTGATCCCCAAACGGCCATATATCATTCCAGATCATAAATTATAATTATGCATGCATGCGTGTGTGTGTGTGTGTGTGTGTGTGTGTGTGTGTGTGTGTGTGTGTGTATAAAAAAGCCACAGTTGACAGTTTCCCAAAGCCTGGCTGAGGATCTGCAGGTTTTTGTTTCAGCTTCACAAACAGAATCAGTCCAAGCGTTGCTGTAATGTCTGACTGACAGCAACACCTGCAGACTCTCAGCCCTCAGTGGACTGAATCCTGCTTTAAATGTGTCACAATTTAAGAATTAAAACATTCTTCCAGGTTTATACCGAGACAGTGACTGTAATCTACCTGCAGAGGGAGCCAGAGGACAATTTTAGTATTAATATTTTCTTTACAGGCGGACAGTAAAATAGTACCAATCATATGTTGAACTGGAAGCTGAGTTTGGACAGTTTAGAGTTTGTGTTTCCAGTTATAGTGACCAGTAACAACACAAATACAGTAATATCTCAATGGTAGCAATAATTAGGAGAAAAATGTTCATTTTAAAAGACAAATCTGGGTTCCTAGTGCATGCTTATGTAACCAACAGGTTTCTTCTGGCTGGAAATGATATAAATAGGTGACAAAAAATAGTAAGACATTGTGTCATTGATACACTTGAACAATTTCAAAAAATCCATATCCATAATTCTTCCTACTCTTTCTCAGTTATCAGTTGTAAAGCCTTGATTTCCCACCACAGCCGTCACACAGTTCTTATCACTGCTAACAGTCGTTCAGTCTTCATTTGTTCCTCTCTGGTCTTCAGCTCCTCTACAGGTTCTCAGACAGGTCTGTTCTTATTATTTTCTGTGAGCCGTTTCTTTACCACGTTGGCTGTAAGTTTCAGATCGTTGTCTTGTTAATGGACAAGTTTTCCTGCAGACTGCCTGACGTTTTCCTCCAGAACCTTCATGTCTCATGATGCTGTTTACTTAGACAAGGTTGTCTGACCCACCGACTGAACAACACCCCCAAAGCATCACATTCCCTCCACCGTGTCTGACTGTGGGGATGGTGTTTATGGAGCTGAATGCTTCTCCTTTCTTTATGCTATGTCCCCGTGTCCAGACAGCTCAGTTTTCATCCAGCCGTGTTCATTTTCTGCTCAAGTATCTGCCTGGACATTACAACGTCCTAATCGGTGATCCTTGGATTCTTCTTGGCCTCTCAGGAAGCCATTCTTGCAAGTGCTGAGGTCACTTTTAGCTTCCTACCACATCCTTTGAGAGTTATCACAGTGTGGAGCTCCTTGTATTTGTTTTGTTGTTGTGCTTTGACTCCAATCACAAGCTCACTCAGCTCTTTGGTTTTAGCGTCGGCTCACCATCGACAAGTTCCTGATGAGAGAACATCAGCTGTTCAGTTTGTATATTAGGATGCTCTCAGACAGAGTAGAAATGACTGGGGCTGTTTTAAATAGTATAGAAGCTGCATTTTCTCAAAAAGATGCAAGTGAATTATTTTCAACATGTCATGTAAAAACAAACAGATTTTTAGAATCATTAACATCATTAACGTCCCTCATACAGTAACTTACCATCTTTTATCGCTTGTTTTTTATTATTTTCAGCCAGAGGAAACCTATTAATGACATACAAATCCAATTATCCAACGTTAGACATGGGTGTAAAAGATCTGGTGCTTAACTTTATATGCATGTCTCATAAAGTAGAATGAAGTGTAAAAAAGTTAAACTTGGCATGTGTGGTGTGGTGGTGACATTAATCAGGAGAAAACAAAGGAGGTTCTGTTTCTTTTCCTACTGAAATAAATCAGCAACCACCACAATCACTAAGCTGAAACTGAATATACATTCTCGCTAAAATCTAAGGAAATCTAATCTTGGAAAGCGGCATTCTGAATCGTTTCCATGACATATCCAACATCCACACGCTGATTCCAGCTTCTCCACCTTTCATCCACAGCTTTGAAGGCGTTTTACCGTCTTTCCAACAGCCATTCAAATGTGGTTAATGGCTTTATCAGTGCCGCTGCTTCCCGCCATCGTCATGTTGTACAGCCGCTACCGTGTGAAAGTTGCCACGCTGTGCCAGCGAGCTCTGGCCTGGGCGCTGAGGCTGACGCGAGGGCGAGTGTGCGTGAAAAGCACCCACGCCTTTGTGTTCACCAACTGCACCCACGGCAAAGTCGACAGCGTCCTGGAGACCTTTGACCTTTACGCTCAGACGCACTCGACTCTCTGCATCGGCCCAGAGATCCGTAAGTACACTTAGCTTTAGTGCATGCATTTAGAAGCCGTACCACTTTGTATACTCAGAACGAAGGAGAGATTTTAATGTGCAGATCTCAAGTGTTCAGGTGAGAAGCTGAGTCAGATCAACAGTGTGTGTAATGTCACTGCCTGGATGTGTTTTATGAAGTAAGATGTAGTCTCACACTAGCAGCCTGTACTGAGAAGTACTAAGTTCAAAAACACATCTGCTGCAGGCAAATAAAGGAGGAGAAACGATCAAAAAAATACCACCTTTGTGAAAGTTAATAGGCTGATCAGTATCACTGCCTCATCGTCAGAGCACAAACAGAGCGGGCTATAAATACACTCGTGTATAAGCTGCTTAGATAAAGCTTTCTTTTTCAAGATTCAGTTGAATTATTATGATGCAACACAAGATACTACAACATCACAGCTGTAGTTCCTTTATTCTCAGTAAGCTCACATTCACTTCTTCTTATGGCACGTCAGACAGTTTTGCCTCATTATTTCATCTGCAACCCTAAACAATCGTGTTAGCAAGTGAGGAAAATTCATAAAAACAACAACAAACCGATAAGTAGGCTCACTGCAAATCTTACGAGGTCAACAAGTGCAAGGCTTTAATCAGCCTTTGTTTTAGTAATTCTGTTGCTCTACAAAGACCTTTTGCAGGTAAATGCTAAAGTTTTGGCCTGTGAGGATGTTTACACAGTAAACAGAAAAGAACTAAATCAGTCATAGTGGAGTGGCCACCCTTCACCCTTAAAGTAGCACCACTTCTCCTCGATACACTTCTGTTTTTCAAGGTAGAGTAATGAAAGTGCTTTGGAATCACTCGTAGCTGTAAAACCTCTTGGTTCCTGTCGAGACCTTCAGTGGAGCTCTGTCTGTGCACAAAGAACTGATTGGTCAGAAGGCGATATTTCATAGTTACAACTCTGAAAACCCAGAGTTCAACTTGACGTTACCTCACTAACCCCAAACCATGCTTCATAACAGCCTCAGAACACGTGAATGTTTTTGATTCAGTATCACACGCCTCAGTTATGACACCCAAACCAGCCTCTGACTGACCATTATTGTGCTTATGTTGTTATGAGGAGGCAGCTGTGGATTGTACAAAACATTCACAAGTAAAGTAGCACCACTTCGCCTTGGTGCACTTCATGTGTTCATGATGCTCGGTAGGTTGGTTGGTCCACCAACTTGTTCTTCTGTGAATTTCTCAGTGTCATCTATGTCTTCAGTTAATCCCAGAATGACTCCATGATGCTGAGATCAGGGCTCTGTTGGTGCAGTAGTATCCGTTACAGGAATCCTTGTTCCTCATTTCTGCTGAGTAGAGGTCTTATGACTCTGACTGTATGTTGTGGGTCATTGTCACAGACTAAACACAGGCCTCTCTGATGCTGCTGCATGATGCAACAGCATCTAACATGTTGCACTGAACTGTAAATGTGAAGGATTTTTTTCTTAAGCAGAAAAAATGCAGTTTTTCTTTGGTGATGACGTGACGAAAGTAAATGTCTTTTAAGACTGTTTTTTCTTTCATTGTTCCAAACTGACTGTGACTGACTTCAGCACTTTACCTGTTATGTAATACGATGCTGTTGCTCTCTGAGCCAGACTGCTCATGCTGAGTAACACTTTGTTTGTGTTTCCATGCACCGCAAATTTGGACACTGAGTGCTTAGAAATGCAAAGGTAAATGTTTTCATGAGCTGGATTTAACCTGTTATGGTAAATAGTAAAATGTACAGAAGGTGACTGTTTGTTATTTCCTGTAACTGTGTATTTTCTATGATGCTAGCAAATGAAAAGTCACCACATCTCAGGAAACATTTATCTAAATGTATTTAAATTAGGCCTAATTTCCTTGCATGCGGCATTACTAAACAGTATGATTTCTAAATCTGCAGCTACTCTATTTTGGTCACAGGCACTTTGGTAGAAATAATGTCAAATAAATCATCCATTTTTTGTGTGTTATTTAAATAAAATAAATACATCTGTTCAAATTAAATGTTCTTGGTCATTAACGTTAACATTCCAGGATTGTTGGTTTTTAAAGTTATTGTGAGAAAATATAAGCAATGAGTTAATCTCGTCCTCGTCTCACTGTGGTGAGGCACTGATCAATGTCCCAAACTAGTATGAATTTCATATCATGGTACAACAGTTTTCAGTTCTCATCCAAAATGTAAACTACACTACAAAAACCAAAGTGACACCAGTTTCGTTCTTGTGGGTTCAGGTGAGGTGCTGGATGAGGCGGTGAGGCGTGTCCGACCGCTGAGGGTGCTGGAACTGGGCACCCACTGCGCCTACAGCTCCGTCCGCCTGCTGCGACTGCTGCCCCCTGCTGGCAGACTGATCACAGTGGAGCTGGACCCAGTGACAGCAGATCTGGGGGAGGAAATCATACTGGTGTCTGGCTTCAAACACTCCCAGGTACAGTCAGGGATGATTACCACACCTGAATGAAAGCCAAAGCAAAATCTACCAGAGAGACGTGAACCTCCCTTCACTCACTTTTCTTGTGCTCCTCAGTTTCAGGTACTAACATGCAGCTCAGCTGAGGCCATCCCAAGACTGCGCTCACTTCTTGGGCCCGACGCAGGGACCAGTGAGGGCTTCAATCTGGTGCTAATGGACCATGATCCCCAGCAGTACCTCCCAGACCTGCTGGCTCTGGAAAGAGAGCAGCTCCTCTGCCCCTCTGGCTGCTCTGTGCTGCTGATCAAAAGAAACCAAGGAGCCGATGACCTCAGAGGAATCCTGGATCACATCAGAGGAAGGACAGAGTGCTACAGCATCAAGACGGAGCTGCAGTGTGTGATGGAGATCTTTTACCGAAAGTAAATACAAGGATGAAGGGTGACAGCAAAGTCTGACATGTGGCTGTGTGCTTAGTTTTTATGGACCGATAGTGTTAAACATTTCACCATCTCTAATGTTGAAGTTTGAGATGAAGATTTTATAACTAATGAAACAAGTGATCTGTTTTATAATACTGTATGTATAACTGGAATTGATTTGTGGCAGGAAAGAAGCACAATATCTAAATTTAAACATTTTATATTTTGCTTCTGTTTATTTAATCTGAACACCCATTTTTTAAATATAGTTTGATTGATAAATACAAATAGGAGCCATAATCCTAAAAAGCAAAGTGTATTATTAACACTAAAGTAGGAAAGACAAATCAATAAAAGTTAAAATCAACAATAAAAATAAAAAGAGATAAAGGAAAAGAAAAACTATATAAGACCAGAAAAAATGTCTTTAAAACACTACATTAGTTAGACTGACTTAATGAATGTAACATCATGTTGCTCATATTATCAGCCAAACCTCTTGCTAGATGGTATTTTTATTAGTCAGGGATTTTATTTCCACCTTCACTATAAGGAGCAGAAGGAATCTGCCCACAGTGACACTAAGAAGCTTATCGTGCCACGGGAGCCTTAATCAGCAAATATAGATAAAAGGTTAAAAACATGAAGGTTTAGGTGATTTAAACAACTGCTTGGAACATGACACTTTCGTAAAGATGCCAGAGGAAAATAGATTAAAAGACTTGGATTGAAAGATTTGATAAAATAGAAGTGTGTCTACAAGGATTTAAATTTTTTTTTATTTTTGTCCACTTGTAATGAATTCCAAACTTCACAGCTCAGCAAAAGACACACGAGCTCAATCTATCATCAGTGTTGCTCCAGGTTATCATCCTTTATAACCAGTTCCATGTGGATCAACATGAGCTTTATTGTTTCTCGAGTACATTCAGACCAGATTGCATTTTATATTGCAGCACCTCAGAATCACCACATCACGTGTTTTTATTTTTATTTTTTGTATTCTCTCTTTTCATGGCTGATGATCAGAATCCCAGAGGCTCTTACACAACCGCCTCACCTCACAACAAAAGAAACAAAGGAAAGAAACGACTAGTTGTAGTGCACAGAGTGACCACTTGATGGCACTGCCTGCTTTTTAAAAGAGTAGAAACCAGCTTTAAACTGTGTGTTGTTGTGACAAGCCTTTGCCTGTGCCTTTAAAGGAAACTTCTAACTATTTTCAGACCTACGTTGTTATTCCTGCACCCCAGGATGGCTCAGTTAACACTAGTTAACATGTTCTGTTTTGCTGCTGACTGGAAACTTAGCCTTTAAATTTGTGATATAAATAATGATTTATTCATCTTGTGACTCACTGTCTTGTCCGGGTTGTTACATTTACTTTAAAGCATTACTGCTCCCAGTCATTCTTTCCCCCCCTTTGCTACTGAGCTCTAAGTGGCCATCATGTCGATTCATTGCTCCGGCCAGCATCTTGAATGAGGAGCCTCAGCGTTGTCTTCTGAGTAGAACTCTGGTGGACTTTTTCTGAATTTGGCCTCTAATGGCAGTGCTGAGGCTCTCAACGCAGCTGGAAAGCCATTACATGGCAATTTAGCACCCAGTTTAAATAAATAATATTTGCTCAATAACAATTTAATTAAATGCTATATTTCCAGGAGCCTCGGGGTGGGTGTGGAGTGAAGGTCACAATTGTTACACAACAGCACAATGAATGTTGTAATAACTAAAACAACACAAACCCAGAGAGCTTGCTGCAGTCGAAGAGACCAACAACGAGAGTCGGGAGGGGGGAGAGCAAACTGCTATTTAGGAGAAATTTAAGCTATGCACAGGAAAGGGACGAGAAACTTGTAACTCCATCCAGTTTAACTGTTCAGCGTGTCTCCACAGAGCAGAATGGGTAATGGGGCGAGCTTCATTAATACTTTAGAATCTCATGCATCGATCCCTTTTTGCACAGCAGGAGAGGAGTGATTGCATTTGCTGAGTTGGACTTTAAGTGGAAAAAACACAGATTTCCAGGAAACTGTGAGATAGATATCTCTTTGTGCATCGGTGGGATTGTTGATTATGTACACTGAAGGATGTCTGACATAACTACTGAACCATCTGCACCACCAAGTTAAATATATTTCAATTAAGCATGAGTTAACACTTTAGAAAAATAAGGCATCTGGGATATTGTTTCCTCTACAACTAGTAACACAACTTCTATTACGGAAAACTGCGGAGACATAAAGAAGCGAGTGATTAGTATACACAGCCAGCTTCACAATCAGGATCAAAATACAACTACTTTAATTCTAAATTAAGACATGTACCATTTGGAGAAAAAAGTGACGCCCACAGTGAGGAAGTGATTGCCTGCATGGAAGCGAAAGTACTGAATATTATTATCGCTAATTAGCAATCTGGAGCGTTTCACTTAGAAAAATAGCAACATTCAGGGTGTGTGTAATCATCTTTTCATCCACTGCAAGGAGTTTGCAATTTATGTTTTGGAAGGGGAGAACTCATTTGGATTCTGTTTTCTAGCTGAGTAGAGCCTGTTCCCTTTGTAAAAAAAATTACAGCAATTTCAAACTTAGATAAAACAGCTATGTGACAAAGTCATTCCCTTCTATATCCATGAACACATTATACAGTCAGAGGCGCTTATAGATTCAATAGAATAGTCTTATACTAGTGCACTTAATGCAAACCTGCTCATGGATTTTGTATTTTCATGTAGTTTTCCCGCTAATGTTTACATGTTTAGCCATCTTTTCCCTTAACAGCCAGTAATGCACAATGAATAGTGGCTTTTTTTATACTAGTATTCATTTTAGAGAAAGTGGCAGCATACAAGTCATGTTAGCATGTCCCCAAATAGTGTGTAACTGTATATAATTACACAAAGCAGGCCAAGTATAATGATTGCTCATTAGCGTCCAGCACCATTTCAGCCCAGAGAGTCCCCCAAAGCCCCACCAGACAAGTGCTAGAGCCAAGAAGTGGTCAATTTCTCAGCTGTCAGAGGTGATTTAACATTTCCTTGCCCTCCTTTCAGAGTTCCAGTAGTGTACACAGTGATGTACAACCAGATGTAAACACCATGCTCTGTGACCACCCGAACCTTCGCCCCTTCCTCCAAGTTCCCCTAAAAAAAATTCCACTTTTAATGGGTTCAATTTTCTGGGTTCCTCCTTCACCAAGCTATGAACTGCACTCTGTGCTATGGAGGCTGGAGAGCGGATGTAAACACAGCTTTCAATTATAAATCAAACCCTAAAAGAGCTGCGCTCTGCTGCCCTCGGGCTCACTGCACAAAGGCCCAGCCTTCATACCAAAACACCCCACATCGCACTGCGAGGAACTTTTGGCCGCCTATTCACCAAGATAAATTTACAACTGAGACAGAAACTTCTTCAGTGGCTGAGAGTGTCAAAGTTATGCAGAGGATGTTATGCTCATCTCTTGTGTTGTGCTGGCTCCTCCTGTATGGCCTCTTTGTTCAGATATTGTGCTTAAAGCAGAAGTTTGGGAGACTTTTCTTTATTTCTTTGGTCAAAGGGAGCTTTCTGTATCATTAATCTTCTTCAGAATCAATTTCCAGGTCAAACATGTGTAACTGAATTACTCAAATATTACAACTTGTCATTGTGTAGCGTACAGGAGCCTTTGAGCCAGGCCATAGGTGAGCTGGTGTGCTCCAGCTGTAGCAAGAAAGAGGCGAGGAATTGAAAGATCTGCACATTCTGGACAAAGCTACGGTGTGGAGTTGCATCTTGGCAAATAAGGTGGGAACAGATTATTTTTGTGGAGAAAAAAAAATCCTATACATGTAATGTTGATGCACAGAGATGAGTTTTAGGGGTTAAGTCAGCGACCAGAGTGAGACTTTAAGCTGACAAAGAGCAAACTAAGAGATGTTGTTGAACAGCTTGGTATGCTGAAATGTTGCATAGATAACATGCCAAGTCACTTTAGCGTTATCACGACGCATTTTTTGCTTTTCATTTCATGGCATGTAGTCTGTACGAACATCTACCTCCACCTGACCCTAACCAACCTTCACCACTGTACAGCGTATAAATGAGTGTAGCACAGCTTGTAGCTGAACTCTGAGCCAAACTGCTTTGTTAAGCCTCAAGCTGCAAACACAGCAGTGACATATATATATACACTGTATATTTACAAACTTGTACAGACAGCAGGTATGGAACAGCACTAGCCTTCGTGTAAAGTTGTTCCTTCAGCTACCTGGCACATTTAAATCCAACACACCGCAGCACCCACAGCTACTTGTCTGCTAACTGTAAACTCATATTTATGAATTTGAACAAAAACAGTCAGAGGTGATAAAAAGTGAAAATAAAAAATTACCTTTCTTCAACATAAACAATTTTCTTTTCTGTCTCACTATAATGTCATCTCTTTTTATTACAACAGAATTGGGTCACACCTGCACCACCACAACCTTTTATAACCAGATTAAGGCTGTGCAACTTATTTTCTTTTCACATCAGCATGTGCAAAAGCAAAGTAAACATTTGTGAGCAGCAAAGTCATTTTAAATTCACACCATGTTTCCTCTCTGACAGTGAAGGAACAAAGCTTTGCCCTCTGTGCCTGGTTCATCAACTGGAGTGTGTAGAGCTAAAGGAGACTCTTGATGGGCTCTCCAGAGACCAAGGGACTTCTATATTTGGTACACTGTGATAGCCTGTACGATCCCGACCCACACACACACACACACACACACACACCCTGCTTCGTGCTATAGGCTTGTGTAATGACGCTGTGTCCTCACATTTGACTGCTGTCACTTGGAAATCTTGTTTTTCCTCCATGCCATCTTTTCAGGAGCGAGGACGCGGCTTTATTTTTAGACCGTCCTGCTGTGTGCTTTTGAGATACGGCAGCGGTGTTTAATAAAAGAGTTCAAGAGGCCTGGTGGTTTTTTCCTGCAGAGGGGAGCATCACATAAATGGAACTAAATTTATAATTTTACTTTATATATGTTATTTAATTAGCAGTTCCCTTCTGCCACGTCGCTCCCACTTTATTTCATTCACACTTGCAGTTTCAGATTGCTCGCAGTAAAATATCTCTGGTTAGCGAGCGTTCAGATACGTGAAGAGATACTTTCCAGAACTAACATGCTTCATTAAAGATTACATTGATTGAACAAATAGCATAAAGATGGCTCGCTGGGAGATACAGCTCAGAGA